CTTAGTCAAAGTGTACACTCAAGAGGAGGGCACAGAAAACAATTCAAGGAAGTCCTTGAGGACAACTTGAAAAAAATGTAACATACACATCAACTTGTAGGAGACTACTGCCCAGTACCACCCAAATAGAGGAAGAGTCTGTTACAAGATTATCAGTACTTTGAAACCCTACGATGACAACAGGAGACAGAAAAGCAGGAGTGGCAGAAACAACATGTTGTGGACTGAACCAAGAACCAGAGCCACCCACCCCACACACAAACATGTGGCTGAGTTGCAGCAGTTTGTTTATCCTGAATTGGCCTTGTCAGCCATCTTCAGACCCGCAGATTAAAAAAATCATGAAAGCCAAATCATCCTCAACTGCAAGATATTGCTGATTTTGTTATTGTTGTTACCACTTGTGAATTTAACCTCTTTCACAGTCCTACCCAATGTATTAGAGTCTACCAGGATGTCCTAAAAACCCCAAATAACTATTACCACTGACACAGAGAGTTTAAAAACCCCGGCAAATGCTGGGCAAGGGGGGAGCGAGTGGGGACCTAGCCTAGGGCAGCCTGGGGATGCCCAGGTTATGGGTCGCACCCCAGTACACTGTCCCCATGGGATCTGAAATGGGGGCAGATGCAGAAAGGCCAGGAACACTTCCCCAGCTGGGAGTAGCCCAGAGTGAATGCTAGGGGGAGGCTATTTGTTTTTCTTGTTACCCTTTTGCTTGTTTTGTTCTAATGTGGTTGCTGCTTGGAAGACCAAAGCAGAGGCGACCACAGTAGAGGTGGGCAGAGTAGATTTTTAAGCCCAATCCTCCCGAGATGACAGCCGATAGTGAGCCCCAAAGGGGATGTTCCAGGGGCCCAAACCACTGGCTGCAGACCAGTGTCCTGACTTGCCTGGTGAGAGAGTGGACTGGGGGTAGGGGAGGTGGAGCTCCAGTACCAGCCACACTGGCAACGTGAGTACTATTAGCAATGGGCATGAGATAACACCACTGAACCCCTTCTTATCACATTTCCACAGGCAAGTGAGGGAGCCCGTCCCTGGGTGCAGGGAAGGACACATAGGACTCAAGCCAGCGTTGCAAGGACCTCTCTCACAACTAGCATCATCATGGTATTAGAAAATAAAAATCCAGAGAAGTTGTTCTCAAACCCTGATCTGAGCCTGGCACTAGGAAAACAAAGGCATACACCAGCTGGATCTGATGAATCAACAACAGTCCAAGTTAGAAGGATAGCTGAAGAGTTTTGCGAGACTTCATATTTAGAGATCCCTCTAGACAAATCAACAGCAATTGTTCTATCACTCCCTCTGGGACCTTTCAAGCAGGAAAAAACCTCATTTTGTCATGAAAAGATTAAGACTCTTGGTATCAAAGGCACATTACTTTTGTCCATTACAAGGAGAAAATGCCTATCCGATAATACTATATTACCATGCCCTTATCCAAACTCATTCCAAAAATGAACTAAGAAGCACTCAGACATGAGGCATCTAGCGTGTTCCACATTTACTTGGCCATCATATCATTTTATAATCTTTTCTATAAAAGGAAAAAGAAAAAAGACAAGGTAATAACCAGCAAGCCCGTCAACATCAGGAAATGTTTTCTTGAAAAAAGGGTTTTAAACTCTAAAATCATCTCTCCCCAAAAGGGAGTATGGAACATTCCAAACAAATGGATTTAATACCTTCTCACTTGATTATACAAGCAAGAGTCATCCTCACATCACAAGAATTTTTCTTCTAGTGCCCTCAGTGCTTAACAAAACAAAACTAACCTAACCTCAGCAAAAGAAGTGACAGCCTTTCCCTTCTACTCATACAACAGTAACTAAATCTATTCCAATCACACTGGAACAAAATTTCTGACTTTGTTATCAAGTGGAGCTAAATAGCTATAACTCACTAGGCTGTACACTACTTCTAAGAGTTTTCCTGAATAAGATTTAGTGGGCTTAAGCTAGACAAAAATCTTTCACATGCCCTTTCATCTATAGATCTCAAAGTACTTTACAAATGTTATCATTTTCTCTATTATTTCTCTCTTCTACACAAGGAGAAACTGAAATGAGGAGTCACAAAACCAACAACAGTAATAAAGGCTAAGTACAGACACAGTCAAAAAGCACAAGGATGAATTAATTCAATCTTTGCAGGTTAGTCTAGACTGCATAGACTGAACTAATAAGCAGGTGAACAGCCATTCACTTTTGATTCCAGAAATGCAGCCACATGCCTGCAGTGGCCCAGGCAAGATGCTTGGGGATGCTACAAGACGCCTCCCTTCTGGGCCAAAGCGGACAGCTTGACCCAAGCCTAGCCTACCTACCCTGCAAAGGGGGACTTGCAGGGAGACACAAAGTACCCTGGGATGTTGGGGGACTGTGACAGGATGGGGCCTGGGGTGCCGTGACCTCCCCTAGTGCCCCCTGGCTATCGTGTCAAGCCGGTGTCAATGCACCCTCACCAATCTCGCCCGCCAGGTCTTTGATGGTTTAAATGTTTAGGGAAGGCTGCCTTTTCTATTTGCTTTGACACGGTGCCTTAATGTCCAGTTGCCCCGCTGCACTCTAGCGTTAGGGCTATCCATAAGTCCTACTGTTGCCCGCACTGGGGCCGGTCTTGCGCTCACACCCGCACTAGAGCCAGTCTTGCGCTCAATAGGGCTCAGGCGGCCTCAGCCTTACCTGGCC